CGAAGTAGGGGACGAGTTGAGGACTTGAGAAGAAGAAAATAAACGTAAGAAAAGTGAGAAAGGATCCACCCATTCCGTCTCCCCAACACCGGCAGTATGAGAATGTACTGGTAACACCATTCGTGCTTTGCTGCGTCGCGTGGTATCATGCCCCTCCTCCTCCTCTCCCATCAGGGCTGTCGCTGGAAACCCCGTCTCCGTCTTGTCCACCATGGCTGACAACCTCATCGCAATCGCCTGTGACGTCGCTCTATCATTGTTGCGCCGCCTGAGCGTTGAGCTGTTCCTCGAGTTGTGCCACGTTGGCGTCCACATTATGGTAGTCGAGGATCTCGGAGTACCTGTGATAGGTCATTAGTATTGAACAGTAAGCAGTGTACAAGTGAACAGGAAGAAACGCACATCATGATCTTCCACGTGTCAACAGGCAGGTCAGCATCGTTGAAGCTCCAGTCGAACTTCTCCTCGGCGACGGGCTCGTCGGTAGGATCGTGGTAGGGAGAGAGGTATTCGTGCGACAGCGCCTCGGTCGCCGTTATCCTCTTCTTGGGATCGAAGACAAGCATCTTCTCTAGCAGGTCGATGGCCGAAGGGTCGGCATTCTTGAACTTGTTCTTGAGCGGCTGGCGCTCGCGCTTGGGCAGCGATTTGACAAAGCGCAGCGTATTTTCGCTGGCGATGCCGTTGATGACGTCGTCGGGTGGTGTGCCGAGGAGCTCCGTAATGATACTGAACTGGTTGACGTGGTCCTTGCCAGGGAAGAGCGGCTTGCCCTCGAGCATCTCGGCGAAGATACAGCCCGCACTCCAGATATCCACCTCGACATCATACTTCTGCCACGTGAGCATGATTTCCGGCGCGCGGTAGTAACGCGTCGAGACATAGCCTGTCATCTGGGGATCCTGGATGCGCGCCAGGCCGAAGTCGCAAATCTTCAAATCACAGTTCTCGTTGACCAAGATGTTGCTGGGCTTGAGGTCACGGTGGACGACGCCCGCTGAGTGCACGTACTTGAGGCCGCGCTGCAGCAGAGTTAGCAAGTGAGGTCGAGCACATGGGCGTGCACGCAGGAACTTGACGCACCATGATCTGGTAGAGGAAGTATTGGATGAATTGCTTCTCCAGAGGCCTGGAGGTGAGTAGACGGTGCAAGTCGGTGCCGAGAAGCTCGGTAACAAAGTAGATGTCCTCGAGGGGGGAAATGAAGATGTCGCTCAGGGAAATGACCTAAATCGACTGTGAGCAGGTTGTTGTGAGGAAACAAGGCTGTGAGCCCTTTTTGCTGGGAATACGGACATTCTCGTGTCTGAGGTGCTTGAGAAGCTTCAGCTCGCGGTACGTTCGCTTGGCGAGAACCGGGGTACTGAAGGGCTTCATGATCTTCTTAACGGCGACATTCTGGTTGGTGAGCTGGTCACGGGCAGAGCTGGTTGAGCACAGGCGTTAGTTGGATTCCCTCACTTGGCGAAATGCACCTCAAT